AGACCTCACCCTATGGATCTCTTCTATCTAACTGTTCCTGAGTTGTAATGTAACCTTTTCATAATAAACCAGTAATCTACTAAATAAAATATTTGCCTGAGTCCTATGAGCCACTCTAGCAAATGAATCAAACCCAAGAAGGGGATCGTGTAAACCTCCAATTTACAGCCAGTGGGTCAGAAACACAGATGACAACTTGGACTTGCGATTAGCTTCTGAAAGAAGAGGAAAGGGGGGCAGGGGTCAGAGTTGTGGAACCGAGCCTTTAACCTGTGGGATCTGACACTATCTCCAAGTAGGTAGTGTCAGAACTGAATCAAATTATAGGACACCCAGCTGGTGTGTCCGAGAATGACCTGGTGTGGGAAAACTTCACACACAATTTGGTAGTCACAGGTGTCAGAAGTGAGGTACTGAGAGTAGAGAAAACACAGGAGTGTTTTTTCTCTTATATTAGTATACAAGGAATATCACTTTACAAAGTTTATTAATCTATTACACTTCTATTCTCTGATAAAGGTGTCAAATATCTGTTATTTGGTTCTCCTAATCAAACTTCATTAGCGACAAAAGGAAAAAAGGATGACACACAAAAGTTCCTAGATGTCTTTTTATAATCTGATATCTTCTTAATAGTCCCTTATATCACTGTAACATTTTTCATCTTATATGAAGATGCCATATTTGTTCAGAGGAGAGAATAATTCTTTTCTAATCAAGTTAAAAACAATCCAGGAGAAAAACAATAAAAGCATCACTATAAAAATATCTAAATATTTTAAACTATAACTTACCATATAAGGAATATTCTGCTTCCTGACCTGTGTCACTCTCACTGGACGTTGATGTGAGGCTGGTGGTTAAAGTATTACTTAATGACTGCCCAACTGATAACACTGTTGTTGCTGTAGCTACGTTGCTGCTGCTAGTAACACTGGATGTTGACATAGTCACTGTTGATGTAGTACCAGGCGTGGTCAAATTAGGGAAACTCTGAGCACCCATAAGAGGAGAAGCTAAAGGTAAAAATGAAGCAAATCAGTACAAATAGGTAGAATTGCATAAACCTTAGAAAAACTAGGGTGTATGTTTAGAAAAAAGAACGAAGTCGTTAAACACTAAATTATTAAAAGGTTGAAAAGCAACAACTTTGGGAACCCAACTGAAATCCAACTAAAAAATCTTGTTTTTATTATAGCACTATTATTTTTCAAAAAAATTAAGCCTAGCTTTTTAAAAAGGTGAAATAGGCAATGGAATAATTCCCAATGATATCTTCCAAGGGAACTACTTTGACCCATTAGCAGCTTAGAATTAAATAACTTTCAGCAGCTAATAACAATTTAGAACCTAAGTAGAAGTTATAGCAGTGTGATGTTCTGATTTCAATTGACTATATTTAATAGTCTTTTCCTCATGCTTAACAATTTATCATAGAGGAGTGAAAAACAGAAGTGTTATTGTTTTATCCTTTCAGAATAAGAGGTTCTTTAGCACACCTGCTCTGAATTCTTAAAATATCACGATTCTCATATAAACTTTAACTTCATATTCCTAAAGTACTTCATTTGACGTAGTTGTCTCTAACATGATTAATGATCTAGTTAAAGACTGAAGCCAGGACCCATTGAACAAGAAACCCTACTATGCATCCCTCAGAGTGGAAAAGGCATTAGGTTCCGTAAGGAAAATCTCACTTACTTGCTGTGCTCATCACATTCCTCCCCAAAGTATTAGTGTTGTTATCACTGCTGCTTCGGCTTAGATTCATGTTGTTCGTGGCATTAGTCCGTGCTATGTTTGCCACTCTCCTTACAAAACTCTCCAAGCTAGACGTTTCTCTTGAGGACAGGTTAGGTACACTTGCACTAGAGCTCATAGGTGCCCCAGCAGCCAACAATGAGCTCACTGACAGTCTGTTACTTGCTGAGGAACTAAGGGGTCGTTGCGAAGCTGCTTCTTTATTAGTTAACTCAGACACTGAACTAACGTCAGGAGAACTAACACTAACAATTCCCATGGATATTGCACTAGACTCCCCAGGAGTGCGAACAGAGCTGTCAGGGCCTAACTTTCTTTCAGCATTTTCACTTCCCGTTTCCGCTGTTAAGGTACTGGTGCTTGCACTGGAAGACGACCCTACTTCTGCTTGCGGGACGTTTTCAGCAGATGAAAGAACAACAATTGGTTCATGGACATCAGCTCCTGAAACTATACTGTGTTCCATTACAATTTCTGATCTCCGTTCCGTTTTGGTCGAACCCAAGCTGATGTCGCTGCTACTGGCCACGCTACACACAGAACTGCTGCTTCCTTTTCTACTTGAGGAGCCTGCAGCAGCAGATGTCTTGTCTGGACAGTTGTTTTTCACCAAGCTGCTCCATGACTGCGTTGTGCCTGAAACAGTGGATGAAACAGGTTTGGGTGATGCCACTGTGTCAGGGTCGTACCCTGGTGCAAGCTTGAGGTCAAATTTTCCTTCTGCGCCCATACGGTAAGAGTTTGAGCCACCAGCATCCCAGGTGACATCAATCCAGCCTGGAAAGGGACAGGAGTTTGTGAGACCCAGCAGAAAGCAGAGAGGAGCGTGTCAGACAGTAGCTCCACAATATGGGATCAGCTTTTCATCAGTGTTGTACTTCCCTGAATTTCTATACTCGTTAAGGTCTGCCAACTAAAATTAAATTCTTCCTTTTATTTCTATTATTTCTGAACTCTTCACTCTGGTGATATTTAAAAACAATGTAAGGGTCATGTTTACATCTATTGGAGTATCTTTTAAGGGAAAAACTGTTAAAAATTGTAAAATAACATACAAATGGTAAAATACTGCAACTTTAGCAAGTATAGATGAAATTGAAGTAAAAGGTTTTTTACTTGCTAAATATGATTATGTGGGCGAATGCTCTTTAAAGAAAAAAGTGCTGGCTTACCATTGATTTCTAAGCTTGGGCTAAATCCTATAACTGACAGACAAAAATTCATAGATCACTGTAGAAATTTTAGGTCACTAGCTCAAATAACACTAAGTTAGCATTTCGGTTGTGTTCTCAAAGTTCAGTGGTTACTTGGTTCTCTTGGGATTAAGTTTAATAAATTTGCGTAAGTACAAAAATTCTAAAAATAAAAAGTATGCTAAATTCTTTTACTAGAACATATATGCTAAAGCTAATAACGTGTAAATAACTAATGAGCAAAATGACATTCAATCTACATTTACTTGCACTTGGAAAATTATACTTATTCTTGTTTTTAAAGAAATTAACTTCCAAAAGCAATATAATAAAGTGCCTATTAGAAAGGAAATTAATAGAAATTTTACAATCTTATTTTAGTGTTATAAACTAACTACTTCAGGGAAAAACACAACACATAAAAATACTTATTTTTAAGTATAACAAGTCTTTATAAAGTTTAAAATTACTTTACCCACACATACACTCCCATACGCGCTCGCGTGCGCAGACGCAAACACACACACACACCAAGTTCATGTATGTTTAGGATGAGGTTCAGAGTGGTATAAGTAATATTGAGTTACCTGTGGGGATTCTCTGCATATGAGTTCTTTGAGAGGAAAATTGCCCCAAATCTACATAATCTAGTTTACATGAGATTCAATTGCCTCAATTTATTCTTTATGCTGAAATAACCTCTGAAGAACCAACATTTAACTATCTCTTCTGCAACATGGAAAAGTATGAGAAAAGGAAAGGTTCAAAAACATATCCCAACCCCAAATAAAAATAACATTTGCATTGTATTAATTGGTCTAAAAATACACTGATAATTTATTTCATAACACTTATCAAAATTTGTAATTTTATGTGTGTTTCACCAAGAAGGCAGGGGATCATACTTTGTTGTTGACCACTGTATATCTGAAGTCTAACAAAGTACCTTTACATAGGTGTTCATATTTGTGGAATAAATAAAAAGTATTATGTATGTGTTGGTTGGATCTCTCTACCAATACATAGGTTCTTTAGGAAAAAAAGATTTAATTGATATAATGTGGAAAAATAATTTCAAAATGTAAACCATTCATAAGGCTTGAGAACATGGTTAAATTGATATCTATTTAATGGGGACTAAGAAAGGGTACATACATACTACCCATAAAGACAAAACTCGGGAGTCCTGTGCCTCAAAAATAGATAAAAAGATAGTAATAGCTAGCCATTATTAGAAATGGTTGGCAGTT